ACGTACAGAAAGAAACATCTGAAGAGTAAGGTGCATTACAGTTTTTGAAAGCATTTTCAAGCACAGCTTACAGTTTTGATATATATAAAAAATGGTTGTAAAAGTCACTAAAACCCTTCCATACTTTCACAGAATGAGTGAGAGCTTCTTAGAAGCCTGCAGTTTCAGAAAAGTCATAAAAAGCTGAAAATTCCATCTCAAAGTCCGTTAAATGGGGTCTGCCTCATAAATGAGGAATTTTATTGCAAGGCAAAGGTAAAAAATAGAAGAAGAACCTGAAACATTAGGACAGTGCTGGTGCGTTGTGCTTGTGTCTCAGGTGAAAATAAGTGAGGCACCCTTAAAAGAAAAGATTCCAGAGTTAGGACAGGGAAAGATTATGCAAATTTTAAAATGAAGTTTTAAGGGCAGATGATTCCTTTTCCCTTGAAACAAGTATGGGGTAATTCCCTTGTAATTACATGAGGATGAATTAATTACTTTCTAACAAACTCAAATAAAACCTTGACTATATAATACCGCCTTCTCTTGCCTTAATTAAAAATATCCAGGAGCATTTTCATAATGTGTAGATTCTCCCCCCGCTACTTCCCCACATTAAATATCTATATATTTATGCTTTTTTTACTGATACAAGGAAATTGGGATTACAGATCCTCCCACTGATGAGGGATCCATTATGGGCTGTTGTGTATCAAATTGTGCATCAGCACCACACACCCGAGAAGGCTGGAAGTGCCCAATCCTCCTGCAGAGGAAAACCAGCAGCTTTCTGCTCATCTGGGCATGGCCCAGCCCCAAGTGCAGGATGCACTCTCCTGATGGTGAACACACAGAATTCTCTGTGCTGAAAAACCTGTTGTTTTGGCTGCCATGGCTTTGCCAGGTAGCTGAGTGAGAGCAGGTGAGACAGCTCCCATCTGCAGAGGAGACTCGTGCATCTGCTCAGAATTGCAAAGGAGCTCCACCAACCTCACTCCCAGCCTTTGTCCATGCATTAAATCCCTGCTGCAAATGCAGTTTGGAGCCAAGGCCTTGCTAAGAAAACCTTGTTTAAAATATGCTGAACAAAGAGTTATGGATCAGGAAAATTTAATAACAGTCCCACACTCCTGGAGTTGTGTTTTACTGCAGAATAATACTTTTGCTTCTGCAGAGATGCTCTTAAAATAAGTTTAGTCTCTGCAGTTTCTCTGGGATGGATTTTAATTATACATGCTTGCAATGTATATACCTGAAAGACTATAAATGCATTTTATACCCTTGGATAGTGTGTTGGCAAGACTTTGAGATGTGCATTGGTCATTAGTGAAAATAATGTTAATTTTGTGGCAGCACCCTGCATGTGCTGTTCCTGTCAGTCCAGGATTACCATCTGTATTATCAGATAGAACAGCAAATGAATTAATAAAGACTAGAAATTGTTCTAATCTGAGGGTTCATTTGGAATTAAGGTAATTTTTCAGAGAAAAAAGAGATCTGAGGCTACAGGGGAGCTATTAGTAAGGTTTTAATACAGGGTATCTGCATCACCATGAAAACTCAGAGCTGCTCCAAAGTCACTCCTGCCTCCATAAATCCAGGCATGAATTGGGTGATGGACTTGCATCTGCTGCTTTAAGAAAAAGAGGTGTGTGGATTTATAGCCTCCCAGGCAGGGCAGAGATGGAGGAAGATGATTTCACTTCCTTTGAAGTCTAATGAAGTGAATCTCACATAATAGAAGTGATTTTAGCTCTCTCTGAACAAGATGAGGTTCTCCAGTAAATGTGTTTGTTTTGGGGTGCTCTCTGCCAGTGGGACATTGGGGCAGATACAGACATTTCCTGTTTTAAGCAGAAATTCTTGTTGCATGTGGGTGTTGCTCTGAAAAAGGTCAGCTTTCAAGTATAGGTGCAGCAAATAAAGCTGCAGATGTGGAAAGCAGTTTCATATTTACATTTGTGAGGCTTTTTGAGCAGAAAGCACTATTCAATTCTAATGTTCATTATGCCCTTCTCTCATTCACCTAGATCCTATATAATTATGTGTTTAATGATCTTCCCCCTTCACACGAACACAGCTTGCTGAAGCTTGACTCTTGCAGTAAATTATCATTCATGTCTGGTAGAAGAGAGGAAATATTACTTGGAAGAAATGCTGTGCTATCTGACTTAAGATTTCAGTCTGTGGTATAACTTTATAGTAGGTGAGATGACTTAATCTTAAATCTAAACAATAAAATTATTTTTGAGAAGTAGCTCTTCAGGTAATTCGTTATAATATTTTGATGTTAGAGTGTAAGGACTTCAACCTAAAAAAGCTATTTAAATTATTTAAGTCAATTTGGATGCTCCCTATAGATTGTAGTAAATGCCACATTTATGTCTTTTTATTTTTTTTTATTAAAGAACTAAAAAAAAGGAAATAAATATTGCTACTATAAATCTTTGAGTAAAAGACTGATCTTCCACTCATCAGACCTAATTTCAACTTTAATATTATAAAATACCCTTATCTCTTGTACTTTGTTTAATGTTTAGCCCTTCACCTTGTAGTGTTTCAAATAGCAATACTTGAATAACAAATAGCAATTCTTGCTTTTGATACAATAGAATTTAACTTATTAGAGAAAACAATTCATGGCAATCATAGACACTTTTATCATTTTAACTGTTGTTATATGACTAGAACTGAAAAGGTTCTATAGCCCTGCATTAATATATACCAGAACTGATTTATGAGCCATAAGTGCTGTTGGATATTATGGGTAAAACCTGAGATTACAGACAGCCTCCCTTACTTATTAGCAAATAGCAAATTCTAGAATGTTTAAGCCTTCTCAAATGTCTGTGGGGGATATCTGGTTTATTCTTAAAAGTTCAGATTTTAGCTTTTTATTGTGTGGTTGAGATGCTCCCAGTGCCTCTGCTGAGCTGTGGGTGTCCAGACAATGCTGTGATATTACATCACTCTAACTCGGCTCTGAATATGCTGCCAAAACCTTCATATGCAATGTTAATGCCATATAGATTTTATTCAGGGAGCAAACAGATGCTTAAATTATAAACAATCTGTTTCAAACACAGATTCTGGATTGATCTTTACAGGCTCTGGGGCCCTGGAAATTAGGGTCATAAGGACAATAATCTTAAAGGCAAAAGGAGTTGTATTAACTTTCTGAGCAGACCAAACTGTGACACCAGCCAAGAGGAGAGGGCAGTGGCTCAGGAAATGAGGCTGATTGTTCTCAAGCAGGAGCTGAGGCAGGTGCAAAAAGAAAACCAGATTGAACTTTTGGAAAAGGGACTCAGCTGTCGCTTGACATCTCTGTGTATTTTGCTGTGGGCTGGGTAGGAAGAGTGAACTCGATTGAGTCATGCATATTCACAGCTAAAATGCTCTGAAATGTTGTTAAAACAATGGTGGTGTAATAAAACGCTGCCCAGCAAAACAGAGAGGATAAGTTTACAGCTCGTGTGGCTCGTGGGAGTAGTGCCATTATTGCAGAGCAGGGAGTGCACTGGTGGCCAGGATTTTGTGTCTGTAGCAAACCAGACCAACATGAAATCAGCCCTGGCTGTGCTGTCCACTGTGCTCGTTGCAGCAGACAGAGCTTTGTGCTTCTGAGCCCTTGAACAGCTGAATTCCTGAACAGGTGAGCTGCAGATGCAGCTGCTTGTGACCAATTGTGGACGCAAGGACCTGCAGAGCCACTTGTGACATCAGAATCTCCTGTGGTTTGGCCATAGCTGGTGTTACAAGGCTTTTTTCCACACTATTTTAATATCCTAATGCCAGCTCTTCTTCTAAATTATGCTTCTGCCTGGCCCTGGCAGCCTCTGCTATCAGCTGAGAGTAAAATGCATAACCAGCAACAGCTTCTGTTGAGCTGTCTGCACAGAATGAGCAAACAGGAAAAAATCCTTAGTGCTGGTTGTAACTCATGCTGCAACCTAAGCAAGTTGTACATATTTCCTTCAGACTGTCTTTTGTGAGGCAGAGATAAATAATAATGGATGGAAGTTACATTTTTAATGACGTTATTCACTTCTTATTGATCATATTGAGTGTGTTAGACCTAACAGTAAACAGAATTGAAACTCCTATTACTGTGTATTCAAGTTATTATCCTGTATTTTTGAATGTGTTGACAGGGATACATATGACCCAACCAATTCACACTTTCACAACTTAAAAATTATTGGAGATAATCTGATATTCAGTATTTGGCACTGGGCCTACCAAAAAAATCAATGGAAGTCCTTTTTCCCCAGGTTTTTAATTAACAAAAACATTAAAAATAATGAATATATTTCTCATACTGCTTCAGTTTATTATAATTCTCTTTTGTTTTCTTTAAAGCCAAGTACAAATTTAATACAATTTTTTTTCCTGATGCGGCTTTGAGGAGAATGGGAAGATGTGTGCAAGGGTTCTTCTACCAGGGCACATACTTTTAGAATAAAGATCTTAGAACCTTTTAGGTTCTGCAAAGATCTGAGTTGTGTTAGTCTTCTTACTTTCTGTGACTGCTGTCTGTGAACAAGATTCCATAGATGCCAGTGTTCAACCATTTCCAGTCACCTGGAAATAAGCTGAAAGTAATGACTAAAAAAAGTAGTTAGATTAAAACATATGTTATGGTTAACCCTCCCCTCACCCTGTGATCTAATAGGTTAAGGACGTTTTGTACTTGTTCATTTGGGCTGATAATTGTTCTGAAGGCATTTACATTTTAGAATGGCATTTAAAAAATATATAACAGCGGCTTTTTAAATAGAAAGTCTAATTATGCCTATGATTGCATCCCTTTTTGATTAGTATGCATACAAATCCCTGCTCTCCGTGTGTATTCAAGCTGAGATATAGATCACTGCTGCTGGGATTGAAGCACAAAGGATCAGCTGACAGAATGTATAGTTAGACCAAAGCAAAAAAAACCCCAAAAAAACCAAAATTCTGTGTGTACATTTTTTTGTCTCTAAAATGCCATTTTTTTCTCTTTTTCCCCCTTTTAGCTACACACAGACCTGGACCCTGGCAGCAGCAAAATCAAGTATATTCTGTCAGGAGATGGAGCTGGGACCATCTTTGTGATCAACGACAAGACTGGAGACATCCACGCCATGAAAAGGCTGGACCGGGAGGAGAAGGCTGAGTACACCCTCACAGCCCAGGCCGTGGACAGGGACACAAACCAGCCCCTGGAGCCCCCCTCAGAATTCATCATCAAGGTTCAGGACATCAATGACAACGCTCCTGAGTTTGTAGAGGGCCCCTACCACGCCACGGTGCCAGAAATGTCTGTTGTGGGTACGTATTGAGAACAGCCCCGCCTCTCCCTGCTCACAGCCTGGGCCCTGCCAGGAGGCTGTTGAGTTGGTGATGAATAATAAGGTATTTATTATGTTGTTAGCATTCATTTGCATATTTTCAAATCTTTTCTTGGCCGAAGCTTTCATCTGCAGCACAATAGCCGAGTCCCTCAGTAGTAAGGAAATGATTAACAGCTGTATTAATGTCTCTTTGTCCAACAACACTTTAATGGGCTAAATTTATATTTCCCTTCTGACATTGCAGTTAGAGAATTGTTATTGAGAAGGATTTATCAAGATTTGCTCCAGCATGATGCTTTAATCCTATTGATAGTTTGTTGATGTTTAATTATCTGTTTGTTGTTTTCCTACACTTGCAGGGCATTGATACATACTTATTTGTTTTCCTTTAAGTGCAACTGTAATCAGGCAAAAACATTGAAATTAGAGATGCTGTGTCTGGGAATTGATGGTTAGCTTGTAGAGTGGACTTAACCAATTAGGCACAGGATTTGCATGGATGATGGAAGGGAAAAGCAGAGAAAGCTGTGGAAAAAGATGGTGAAAAGGGAAATTAACTGTGTGAACGCAGAAAAGAAAAAGGAGAAGAACATAATCTTCTTAATATATTTTACTTATATTTATTCATTTTGTCGGATTAGTGTGAATCTATTTCCTCATGGATTAATATATTAGAATCTTTTCTGCATAGTTTGTCCCTGTGTTTGCAAATGAACGTCCTTAAAGAGGCAGATATTGACACTCCCCAGGACACGAATCGAGTGCAGCTCATCTTCAGCTGTCACTGAAGCCAAGGGAAGGAAACACAACAAAACAAGAGAATCCATTTCAGGGCAATATAAGAATTCAGGATAAGCAAAGGCATCAAAATCTGGCTATGAAATGCAGAGGAAATTCTAATGCATTTTCGTGTTAGGTTGAGGATAATGTGCTTTTCAGTGATTGTCTACATCTGTCAAAGCAAGGTAATTGAAGGAGTGCCAAGACACTTCGTGGAACGAAGCAACATCCTATCACAAAGTTTCAAAAATCACCATTCTCTCTGGTTTGAAGATAGTTTGTTTAGCTAAAAGAGGAGGAATGTGAGGAGTCAGAGCCATCCTCTCACTCACAGCACAGAGAATTACACCAAGTCATTGTCAAATACAAGTGTGAGTGCTGACTGCATGGTCATACCTGAGGCTTCATCTTTTAAATCAACTTTGCTCCAACAGATTTTCAAATCTTCATTGTGCCAAAAATGATACCTGAATTTTTGAGCCTGCATTTCAATTACTTTCTAGACCATAGCTTTTATATGTTGAGTTACTTTTAATTATACAGCAGCACAAATATAATGTGGACCTGCTTTCAGAAGATATTTCAGTCAAGCTCTAGGTGAGCAAATGACTTAATTAAATAAAATAAGAATAGAAAACTAAACCAAAACAAAACAGTGTGGGAGAAGGAGAAAGGGAAATTGAATGCTGTCATTTCTTATATAAATGCCATTTATGTAGTATTCCAGGAATAAAAAGAGAAAGATATATGCAAGAAAAGATGGCTTCTGATCACAAAGCCTATATAAAAATAATTTATATCTGTGCATATTTATAATCTGTGATAAAGACATGGCCCCTGTCCAAGCACTATTCACTGTAAAGAGGAGGAGAAAAAAACAAAACAAAACAAAACAAAAAACCCTGAAAACTTTGAGGGGAAATTAATCAGGAGATGAATAAAAATCTAGGAAAATTGTTAGCATGAGTTTTAAAAATGGTAAGTGCAATGAGAGTAAGGGAATAAAAGGGAATAAAAGATGAAATAATAGTGAAAGAGAGGTAAAGTAAAAATGGAAAAAGAATGAAAGAGGAGGGGAAAATGTGAAGAAAGGTGATGAGAGATGAATTATAAGTTAAAAATTCATCTAGGAAAACTTTATTCTAGAGGATTGTAGTAGAAATTACCAATGGCTGGATGTAGTTTAGTAAATAGCAAAAGGGGATGGCTCTACAGGAAAATGTTTCATCTGTTCCCCCAGCATGTTGGGGAAAAGAGACACTGAACTGCCTCTGAAATGACAAAGTTCCACATTCTTGTGGTTTGTTAGGATGCATGAAAGAGTTTTGTCCAAAAGCAAGTGTGTTCTAACAACAAAAATGGTTGTTGCCATTACTAAAATAACCTATATTGTAGAGATTTGCAATAGATATCTGACAGATCTGAGGTTTATTACTGTAACTCTGAGAGTTTTGCACAATTATCCCTTAGGATCCCTGGCCCTTCCAGGTGTTGAACAGGACATTCCTAGGGGTGCAGGTTTTGAGGCTGCTGCTCTACAGAAGCACCAATGTGCACTCCAGATCTTTTGTTGAGAAACAAAATCTATTTCTCTGCTGTTCTTTCAAAATTCAGAGAATGTTCCTGATTCCATTACATGGGGCATGAGTGAGTGTGAAATCTCTGAAGCAGAGGCAGTGGAATCTGTGTCTTAATCTCTGATGGAACCAAATGTCAGGGCTGGAAAGTGGAATATGAGAGTGTTACCCTTCATTAATTTTGCTGCTACTATTTTCTTCTGCTTTCTTTTCTTCATCCACAGGTAGCAACATCAAGAGATGAAGGAAAAGATTCTCTGTAATTTATTTCAGGTTTTTTTGCAGTTTTTTTTTAACTTCTCTTAAAAATAGACTAACTCTTCTGTGATGTTTACCAACAAAAAAAAAAAAAATTGTCTCCTTTCAGAGTTCAAGGAATTTTTTACTTTCCCCCCACTAAGAGAATCTCACTACCATTATCCACTTACTTAATTCCCTTAAAGAGATCTCCACCCACTGCCAATTTTTTGCTTTGACTTTTGTACAACACAGGCATCACTATGCAGTTTTTCTTACTCAGGCTAAAACAAAGTTCTGCTGAACCTTTTCTTTCCTCAAATGCTTATATCAATTTTCTGCTCTGAAACAGAAGAGGACTCATATGCTCTCTATATATAGTGCTTATGTAATGAGGATGCAGTACAAGGCATTTTATTTTTGGGCCTCAGGGGAAGGCAATGCATGAAATACAGATGAAGGCTTTAACCTTTCATTGTTCTAAGGTTCTAACATGATGCAGTTTTTCTAATTAGACCTGGTCTTATGTTCCTGCCTAGAACATAACAATGTCAGGTGTTATTTTGACTATATAGAACTGGAATGAAACACTATGGAGATGTGAAAACCATCTTCAAACTGACAGAGAGCAGGTTGAGATTAGAGATTAGGAAGGAATTGTTCCCTGGGAGGGTGGGGGAAGCAAAGGATACCCAGATTTGCTGTGGCTGCCCCTGGATCCCTGGCAGTGCCCAAGGCCAGGCTGGACACTGGGGCTGGAGCAGCTGGGACAGTGGGAGGTGTCCCTGCCATGGCAGGAGGGCTCTGGATGATCTTTAGGGACTCTTCCACCCCAGCTGTGGGATTCTGTCCCTACCTGCAGCGTGTGCCAGCCCATGTGGGGCTCTGTGTGTGCCAGCCCCCGAGAGCCGCACACGGCCACGGCTTCCCTGCTTGGTTTTTATTCTGCATTTCGGTGCTCTCTGGAAAATCCTGCTTCCCTGCTGAAACAAAAGGATTTGTATGGCTCTCCTCCCACTCCTGGTGCAAAGAGGATCAGTATTACCCGGAGCTCTCTCTGGGAGGAGTGCTGCTCACTTCTCAGCTGTCTGTGCAGAACACACTCCCACACACGCGCTCGCTGCCGGCCGCGTCACTGCGCTCAGACTTAGTCTGAAATCACTTATTTCTCTCTTTGAGCAAAGACACCAGCACATTCCAGAAAAAAACCAAAAAGTTTTGAGAACTAAATTGAATTTCTTTACTGTAATTCCCACATAATCTACCATAGTCAGCTCTGCTCCCCACCTCCAAAAATGATGAATTTGCTTGTGAAAGCTAATAGTGTATATGGAGAATATGTTCTTTGCTGAAACTGTGCACTTTAATACTTGAATTATGATATTAATTTTTCTTAAAGAATTAAAGATCAAAAAGTGAAATCTGTGGAATTACTTTGTTATGGCAAGTATTACAAATGGGAAATAATTTATTTTTTTCTGTAAATCATGTTTAATCACTTTTAAACATAAAAGGGTACACTGGGGTAGAAACTCAGTTAAAACCTTAAAAAAAATTATCTGTTTTTCTGGGAGTAAAAACCCTAAGACTATTTTTTTTGCCTCCCTATTTGTCTGTGAGCTCTGTATCTATGTCTGCAATGATGACAGAATATTATGTAAATGAATGAGCAAGCTTAGAAGATCCATAAGGGTAAATGGAACAGGTTCTGTGGCATATTTAAAGAAAAAAGAAAAAAAAGAAAGAAAAGAGGAAAAAAAACCCCACAGCTTTCCTTGAGTATGTTCTGTTTCTGTGTTACCTTCTCAGCTACACACAGATTCATGAATTCCCCAAAACAGGTGCAGAGGTGGTAATGGGAGCCAAGGTGGATATTGTCTCTAAGTTTTGGGATCCCTTTTTTCAGGAGAGGAATGAGGAGTGAAATCTCTTGATTTTGCTCTCAGTGAAGCCGGGAATGTTTAGACAGCGAGTGTCATGTTGAAAGACAGGAGACGACTGAAGCAGAGTGACAAACATGTTGGTGAAATAAAAAAGGACACAGATGGAAAAAGAACAAAAGCCATAAGGGAAGAGAATTCTCTCATAGTTTGCCTGAATTAAGGTAAACAGACAAACTTTAATAATTTCCAAATATAAAGTCTTCTCCTGGCAGTCATAAAAAATACACACAGTGGAATTCAATCTGACATTGCTCTAGAAATGCTTTTGCCTTTGCCACTTGAAAATAGTAACAATATCGAAAAGCTTAGAATATTTTTTTTTTTTTTTTTTTTTTTTTTTTAAATAAAGGTTTTTTCTGGAAAGTTTTTAGGTTTTTTTTTGAGTCAGAGTATCAATTTTCAGTTTTGGCACAAGCTCATCTACTTAGGAATGCTTTCCC